TCTCTCTCAACGCTGTGCATTTCGCTATGTATTTCTGTATCTTCCAATTTAGTTTCATAAGCGCTGGCGTCAGATTTTCGTTGATCGTTCTTCTCTGATGGCACAGTCGGCTTCTCCACTTTATTTTCAGGTTGCTTGACCTCCGTTTTATTCTGCACATCTTCGTCGGGTTTCTCATTCGCTTTGGTTTCCTGTCTCAGCGGTAGAGGATCGCTACCTTGTATTATCTCCATTATCTCGTCAGCTTTTAAATCCATATTTTTAGTAAACTCAGGTGTCTCAGGCTTGTCGACGTCCTTCTTCATATCATTTTTCAAAGCTTGACTCATTTCGAATTCCTTGATAATCTCTTTCTTCAAGGATAAATTCTTCTCACCGAATACACGGGGGATTTTTCGCACGGGCGGGGACGGTTCGCTCAAGTCGTCCTCGTCAAAATCAAAACACGACAGCCGTGATTTCTTGTCGTCTTTGCCGGCGGCATTTTTACTGTCGCTGTCGGAATTCGAAACATCCTTCCTCGGAGACTTGTTGAACGACTCATTGGACGTCGCACCAGTCTTAAGGTCCTTCTCAGACTCGAATTTCTTGTCGATACTACTCAATCGTAAATTCGTCAAGGAGTGGATTTTATCCAGTGACTCCTGCGTCATGTGCATCGACGTTAATTCCTCGGTTTCCTTAAGTAATTTTTCCGCTTCCGCTATGATTTCGTTATTATCCGTAGCATCGTTCTTGTTAATTTGCTGATTAACGTTGACACTTGGCTGATTTTTTGCGGGTGAACTGCTGATACTGCTGCTCAGGGAGTTACTTAGATTAATACTTGTTTCTTCGTCCGATTCGTCGTCCCAGTCGGCCAATAATTTCTCGCGCAACTCGGGATCAGTCTTCTTCTTCTTACCGGTCTTCTCGTTCTGCTTAACGTGCTTTCGTTTACGCGGCTCAACGTCACCGTCGCTCTTCTTCTTACCCGACTGACTCTTATCCTTCCTGGCGTATTTGCGTTTCGGTGTACTTGCGTCGGATAATCTACTGTGCGACTGAGAATACGTTTTAACCTTCGAGCGCGGCGACGGCGAGTCGCCGGATCGGTGAATCTTCAAGTGACAAATGATAACGTTCACGCGCGAGGAAGTGAAGCCACAAACGTGGCAAGGGTATATCGGAGAACCTGAACTAATCGGAGTCGACGGTAAACTGCTGGGTTGATGGCGAATACGAACTTCGTGGTCGCTCTCCCCCCGTACGAAGCGCGGATGCGTGATCTTTCTCATATCCGAACCTTCGCTTCGCCTGTGCAAGTCGTCGCGATCGCGCTTCTTCTTCGGGATCTTCTTCTCGCCGAACAGAGCAGAGATGTCCGGCTTCTCCTCCGGGCAGAATTTCTCCTGGTTCAGTATATGGGGGTCTCCGTCCGTTAACTTCTCCGCCGTTTCTACGTCCTCCGGAAATTTGTCCATGTAACTGGAGCCATCCTTACTCTTACTCCTATATTTATCTATTGAGTAAAGTAAAACAAAAATTAATTCACTGTAAACTCTGTCGAAAAAACGATTTGTTTTGTAAGATTAAGCATCTAAAGTCAGGTTACACTAACGTTATTTTGGTTTTAAGCAACACTTAAAACTTTAAATTTATTGTGTAAGATAAAAGTGAAACCTAAGATTTTAATTCGAATTGATTTGAATTAAATAAGCTCAAATTAAAGCTTCACTCGTCACTTTTGCTTTGTTGGTCAACAAATATAACATTGGTGCAACCGACCAGATCCAAGGAAGAAAATGATTACTTACCCAAACCTTTTCTGATAAAATCATCTTTGAGCGTGCAATTGTACTTGTAGATCTGTTGGTAATTTTTCACAAATTCACTGAAAGAAAAGTTGATAAAATTATCATAATAATTAAATAAACATAAGAGTACCAAGAGATATTACATAATGGAGTTGAAATCTTTTTAACTCACTAGGTCTCTTCTTGAAAAAACTTCACAGCAGCTATTAACGGTTTCTTTTGGAATTCAATCTGTATGTCCTCTGGCAAGTTATGCAACCCGATAACTTGTCCAGGCCACCAGCATGCTCCCAATTTAACCCAGACAATATCTCCATCCAGGTAGTTGATTTCTGTTTGCTCACACATCTTGGCGGAATATTTAATCTAGTCCTCTCATAAAATCAACATTGGTAAATATCGAGAGATTTCTCTTAAGTCTATTCTTAGAGAAATGTCAGCAGTACGAACCAAGACTATTACCTGATCAGTATGAGAGTATACAATTATGTGACAAAGAATATCTTTAAAAGTTACAGTATAATGTCGGTGAAGATTTAAGATAAGATTTCACATAATTCATATGCAGAAGGAACGTCTTCACAATGACGTAAGATGCATGTAAACAAACATAGAGTCACAGCACCACGATGGCACAGTAACACATGTGAATTCTGCTATTACTACTATTTCGATTTCCTTCCTCTCAGCAACTTATTACCCCAGCGATACAAGAATCGTCAAATACATCTATAAGCTACGTGCGTGTACGAAGCATCAGTCAACGCACGATTCCAAGATACACGTCACCGTCAGAACCGTTACCGCACACGTTCATCGCAACGTTTCTCTGTGTCTGTAGAGCACACTGTGCTGTGACTGCCTCTCAAGCGAGCCTTCCTCCGGAATCCCAAGCATGCTCAATCACAACAACCATGGGAAAATCAACGGTTCAGAGACGGGGTTCGGTTGTCAATTTCAACGACGTGATTGAAGGCGGTGTGAGCAGTTTCGGAACGTGTCCCCGAGAAAAGAGGTGCACAGTCGTCCACGAGAACTGGCTGTTTCGATGCTGCTGACGTCGTTGATACCAGTTACGTCGGGCATCTTAGTCCACGTAGGTTCGCGCGGCGAGCCGTTCGCCTCCGGTGCAGCTCACGAACCACCTCCGAGAACGTGCGCCTCCTCGAATCCGCTTCGAATGGCCCGGCTGGTTAAGTCTCGTGCGACGATACGTGCGTGTGTACGAGTCATGTACATAAGTATGTATATGGCGCGTAGGGAATCAGCGAGCGTCCCAGGAACGCGAACGGTGGAAGGCGCGAGCGCGCGCGCGCTCTCTCTATCTATCTCTCTCTCTCACTCGCTCTCGCGCACTCTTCTCCCTCCGCCTGTCCTTATCACTCCTCTCGCCACGGTTCTCTTTCTCACTACCACACACTATCACTCACTCACTCACTTTCTCTCTCTCTCTTTCTCACGGCTGCTCGCTTCGTTTCTAGCCCGCCTCGGAGCGCACCACCAGGAGGCCACCAAGAACGCCTCGACCACTGCGCGATTTCGCGCGCGTGCTATCGCCAAGCAGAATCACAAGCTCGTGAATCAGATCAAGCCAGCTTGAGGCACGCTGAGCCGAGCGAAACCGAGTTGGGCCAAACGCCGCGACACACTTCGGAACACGCTACGTCGCTCGTATAGGACATACGTACATGTTCGGTTACCCGACGTGCAACGGGGCACCGCACAGTGTATGGATGGATGGATGGATGTGTGGAATTCTCTGTTCGCTACTCTGTGTTGCCATATTCCGGCGGCAGGACTGCCAACAGCGCGACTGTATGTACATCGCGCGCGCATCCTTCCTTTTATCTCGCGACGGACGCGGCACCGACCGGGATGATGATCCGGGAAATCCGCGGAGCTTCTCCCCGGTCAAACGAAGGAGAAACGCGAGAAATACGAGGATTCATCGCGAGGTGAGCGACACCGCGCACCGTAAACGCGAGATTTTCATTGGCCAACGTTCGTCGCGACGATTGGCCCGCGCGCCGCGTTCACGTCTCACCTGCACTCTCCGCGACTTTTACCATCTTCCTCTCGCCGTCTCTTTCTTGTGCTCGAAATTTGATAATCGTTCGGGTTCTCAGTTCTTTATCGCGTGGAAGAAAACGTGCAAGTTGGACAAACAAGTTGGTTCAATCGTGCTGAGCTGGCCGTTCGCGTTGCTTCTCCTCGCCCGTTGGAAGTCGAGACTCGAGGTAGATGAAATTTTCTGAAGGAGGAGGAAAGAGGAATGTTAATTCGACGAGAGAGGACTTTGGTTAGTAACGTAAAATTGGGATTAGCGATATAAAGATGTTTGTTAAGCGTATCAAAATCCCAGTCAACACCGAGTTACATTACATCTGCGTTATAATTTCGCATTCAACAGTGTAAATATTATATAACATTCGGTATAATATAACATTGCATTGTCGAGCGTGAAATTATAACACAGATGCGATGTAATTGACGCTCAGTGTTGACTGGGACGCTCCCGATTTGTAACTCCGTTACGATATTTTAACGCTCTCGCGAAACTCACGTTGCACCGCGAGAGCGCCGACGACTTTTGCAAGCCCTTTTAATACCAATACGACGATTTAAGATCGAGTTCCTCGCTCGTGGGACCGCCGGACCCGGCGATCTTACAGCGTAGACGCGATTCTACACTGTAGAATCCTCGGATCACCGAGTGGGATCTTCGACAGTACACACGATACTTCAACAATACATATTCAACGAGATCATCTACACTTTTCGCGGAGTATCGACATTCGTGTGGGACAAATTCGCGCCATAAAACTTCGTCGCCCTTCTTCCCGACAGCAAAAAAAAGTAGCCTACGCGATTTTCGTCAATAATCAGCGAAAATCTCATCTTTCGTTGCGTTTCCCCAATGTGACAGAATTTCTATCACGGGAGCCGACTTCCATACTTTTTTCTTTACCTCGCGACATTAACGACGTTGTTATTGTTCTCCTCCTCGCGCGTGATGGCGCGAAATCGTCGCGACGCGCTGCTTCTTTTCGTCGCGCCGCCGTTGGCACGCCTGTGTCGTCAGGCGAGACCGCCGCGGGAGCCGCCGCTGGCCGCCGCGACGTGGCGCGGCGCTCACGCCGCTGCTTACTTCCGGTGTGTACACCGCCGTCGCCGCCGAACGGCGTCATTCAACTTTTTTTCGGCATCGCTCCGTTTTCCGGTCGCATGCGCCGTCACGCGTCCCGAGGCCGACCTCGACATCAACTGGCTCGTTGTTGCCGCGAAACCCGACGCGTTCGGCCCCGTTTGACTCGGCGTTGCGGGACTTTTTTCGGAGCGTCCGAGGCTCGCTAACAGACCGGAAGTACCGGTCGTCGTGTCGTCACGCAGTGTCAACGCGCGTTTCTGTACCATCGGACGGAAAAATGGCGACTGCTGTGCCATCGCGATTCGCCGTTCTCAGTATCGAAGACGACGATTACAAGCCGAAGAAGACGCAGAAGAGCGCGACCGCGAGTAAGACTAATACGAAAAGCAAAGGTGACAAGCCGAAGGCGCCGCAGCAGCAACAACAGCAGCAGCAACAACAACAACAGCAACAGCAGGCGAACAAGAAGAAGCAGAACAAGGTGCAGCGTCCATTGTTGCATATTTGTTTTCGATCAGCCGGCGAAACGTCACAAGCCGGATGCGTACACCGCGCGGCGGGAAATCGGAACGTTTCAAATTTGTCTTCGCTCGCGTCGCAGATGCAACGCTTTGTGTGTACGTCTCTATCTTTCTGTCCTTTTAGGGAAAGAAGAAGAAATCGAATAATGACGATCAACAGTGGGAACAATGGAAACAAAAGGATACTATGGTAAAAATTGAATTTTATTTGGGGTTATAGGAAATTTTCCCATAAACTGTTTCTGTCTGATAGTAAATATTTTGGATGCTTGAATTGATCGGGTGTTTGGCGTATTTAAAAACAAAAAATTTTTGAGTACCTGTGAAAGCATTATTATTATAAAGTTTATGATGAAATGAGAAACATACTCTGCATTGTTTGATAATGCCCGAGAGATTTATGATAATAGATATTAAATTTGAGGTTTTATTTCAGTATATATGTTCAGAATGTTCAGTACCCAATGTCTATTTCTTTTGTGTTATCACATGAAGCGCTAATGCGTCCGTGATTCCCTTAAGGCTATCGAGGAAACGTTTGAGCAAGAGTTACATCAAGCGATTTTGCTGTCAAAGCTGGCTTATGAAGAGGAATTAGTCAGCGCGGCGAAGACGGAGAAGGAACAGGAACAGAGTAAGAAGTTGGGTAAAAAGTCAAAGAAGGCAACTATGTCCCTAGAAGAGTTTAATAGCATCTTGTCGAAACATAAACCACCTCATTGCACAGGAACAAATGCAACACCAGTAGTAGTATTAACAACCGATCCTGTAGACAATAAGTCAAAAGGTATAATTCAAATAAATTTGGAACCTGTGAAAATATTAATGAAAACTGTCACCTGAATATGTAGAATAAGAGAAAGTTTACTGCTGTTTCACTAATAAGCATTGCGATTTTTGCAGAAGTAGACGCAGAATTCTTCGACAGGGTAGAGAAGGAAACGAAAGAGGAAATAACAAAGGGGAAAGAGAAGGATATATTGAAGGCCAGATTAAATAAAATCGACGACGACATAACATCGGTGCAATTAAGAGTAGAGATTGAGAAGCGAGACGAAATAATCAGCCAATTGAGAACAGAGGTGCATACACTAAAAGAGGAATTAACACAGGTCAAAGAAAGAAATAAAAAGCTTTATCAAATATTATCACACGGCGAAAGTGAGTATCACGAGGCGTAGCTATGGACGCAAACTTGCTAAAACGTTACCATATGTAAACCTATTACTCGCAATTATTTTTTTAGTGAAAGATAAAGCATCAGTATTGGCTGAAGTTGCGAAGCTGCAAGAAATCCGAGATGAATTAACGTCCGAGGTGACTTCGTTGCATGCTCAGTTAGAACAAGAAAGATCGAAAACACGTACATCTAGTGCGGACGTGAAGACATCTAAACAAAATGTAAGACCGATTCGGAGTTTCATCGGTTTCTTTTAAATATATCGAGTAATTTTGCATTAAGCATATTTTGTACATTTCAGAACAAGAAGAGGCCGGCCAGTGAAAATGCCTAATTCGCTTATTCGCGAAGGACTGTATTATTGTGATCTATTAATCTTAATTGAAAATAACACCGAAGAAATAGCAGTCTGAGAATGAATATCTCGATTGTGAAACGAAATTTCGATCTCTTATAACATATTTTGTACTTGCTTGTTAAGTGTAGGTTTAAGATAAAGAAATATTGGTCGCTATACCAGTTTTTATCAGTCGTGTGCATTGGCACTTACGCAACTTTCCATGTTTTTATTTTGCAGTGATTTAAAAAGTCACGTATTTTATATTTCTCAGTTGTTTTCTTTTCTTAAAAAGTTAGATCAATTTTTGAAAATATTGGTTACTTTGTGAGACAATTTCCGAAACGATATTTGCAAAGGCTCTTCCAAAAGGAGGATTCCACAATGTACATCGTATCATCTTCCGAATTACGTACCAACATACATCCGTGAATAAAAAAAAAAATCTATATATATATACTAAACAAATATATATATATATATATATAACTTAAAATATTTTGTAATAAACATATTCTGCACAATTTCGCTGATTATTGGTCGCCTGTTTACCTCTTTTGTGTTTACTGTTCATGACATTAATATGTAATTATTTAATTAGACGAGCATATTTCACATAATCTAATTAATGTACAAAAATTTTATTCATCATATTTTTAGCATTTATCACTGCTGCATCTTTTTATTCAATTTTCTATCTGATTATGCAAATAATCGCTATGATCCAATTTTCTAATCCGTCATTATGTAAATGTATCTTTTTTTTTTGTTTAAACATTGCCACGATATATATTTTCATCTTGATACGATTCGATACGAACGAAAGGCTCACGTGACTCGCTCTCGTGAAAAACGAGAATGCAACGCGGAAATGCGATTTTTATTAACGAGCGTGATGCGATTTGTAGTTAATACCATGATTACCGAATTCGGTTGACTTTATTCCCGCTCTACGATCGTCATCATTTCTATCTACCAATTTCCAGTCCTTTCAACCATTCCCATTGGGCAGCTACCCACGCCCATTCGCACGATACTAAGCTTCATCCGGATTATACGTGCGGGTGCGCATTTTTATGGAAATTTTTTTGTTCGCTTTTTCTGCCTCGAGTTATTCCACGTGAATTTTTTTTCCGGCTCGCTCCCGGCGACTTCAACATGCAGTTCGATACGTTACACCTCACGTTCCGATTCTTTCTTGCCTTTTTCTCTTTTTTACACGGCTTTGCTCCGTTCGTTTCCTCGTTGCGTGCGCGTGAAAAATAGAGGATTTACGTATCTCGCGGTGGCTTTAGATACGAATTATGCTCCGTACAGGAAAAAAGAGGTATTGTCTTAGTCCCGAGCGAATAACAGGAAATATGTAGATTTTAGATAAAAGCAGCCACGATCGTTAACAATTCACGAAATACGTAAATTACATTATATAATATTTAATTCGCGGCTCTCTCTTTCTCTTGTTCTCGATGCGACGTGCACCTACCGCTCTGCGATAGCAAATTTCGCAAATTCGCGATTTCGTTCAAAAGCACCGTCGTCGTCGGGCCTCATTTGCACCGCTGATACGCCGTTTAAAACAGTGCCAATCGCGAAAATCACGACGGTCGCATCTGAGCGAACGGCGCTTAAACACGACGGTTTAATTTCGTCCGGAGATTGACGTGTGGCGTACGACCCAGGCAGGCATCTACTCATCTTCTGACTGAGATCTTGACCAATAAAAGGGGCATTAGCACTAAGTGGACGCCTCGCCTACTCGGTCATAGTCCTGTTTGCCACGGGAGCGGAGGGTGGAAAGTACAAGGGGCGCGTTTAGCGACAGATATAACTACCGCCTAATTTTCGCGTACTTTTCTCGTTGACACGTCGCACTCCCGAAAAGTATGTCGCGATGACTCAGAAGATATCACTTTCGCATTTGTTTTCTTCTTCTTTTTCGAGACACGTTTCCGTATCTTCGTTCACGTTGCCAAACTTGGATTCTTGGACGAGCGCGATCCATCGGTCGGGAATTTCAGAGACGACGCGTTTTGAGCCAGGTTTTTCATTTTCTGTTTAACTTGTGGTTTAGGCTTAACCTGATGATAATGTAAAAATTATGTTCTTCTCTTCATGGTTAATCATTAAACTTTAAAAGTTAGCATTACAAAGTTAGTTTAATGATTAACCATGAATAGAGAAACACAATTTTTGAATTATCATCAGTTAGGTTTAAAGTATAAGTTAATAAACAAATGAAAAACCGGACCTTAAGGTCCAGTTTTACAACCTCCGATTAGTTTAATCGACCGATTAAGTGTCAACCTTAATTGGTCAATTCTGCTTAACGACAAGTGCGATTGGTCAATTTCAACGGGATAATCAGTCGATTAAATTAATCGGAAATTGCGAAATTAGCCCTAAGAGATCCACGATGAGATCGAAAGATCCGCTTTCCCTCCGTTTTGCGGTAATTGCCGGAGAGCGATTTCCCATAAATGGGGGTAGCGGTGGCGCTTTTGCTTTAATGAACGCAGAAAGTTGTTTTTCGGGATGAAACGCGACTTTCTCGAGTCCATCACTGCGGTGAGAGGGTGTACGAGCGTAGGCGGGTAGGAAGGAAGGTGAGAGAGTGTGCGAGAGGGGGGAGACGTCGAAAGGGAACACGGTAGATTGAGGGTTTTAGGACGCGCGGCGGTACAGGGGGTGACAGTGGGGATTCATTATCTGACAGTCTATTGTCATTCCTGCGGGCTGAGATTTCGCTCGGGCCGAGAGTACCGAGGCATTACTCGTTATATATGTATGCATGTATATGCATACACGTACATGTGTATATCTATATGAAACGCGATATTCCCTTTTCAAAAACACGTTTGAAAAGTCGGGGATTTCAGTTGGCTGCGTTTTCTTTTACGCACGACGACGCGGCACGTCGCCGCCCTCTCGGCATTAAATTTATCCGCGTGTGACGCCGAATCCGCATCCGTTCTTGCCGATACGTCAACGCGTCGAGCTCCTCCAGATTCTGCTCTTTTATCGAATTCGCCAATCTTTACAAAGTAACGCGAAGCTATCAAGATAACGCGATATTATTTAATCTATCTCGCCTTTTCGGGATCGACTTCACTTAGTGCCGGGGCTGAGACTGGTTTTGATTCTATTGATTTATGCTCCGACATTTATGCTTTTGTATCAATTCGTTTTAAGATATATTCACGAATTATTTGAGATGTAATTGAAATATGCGACTGTCGTGTCAATACATATTAATTATATATTAAGTTTAATATCTACTTAATTATAATTCGTAACTTAGAAGTCTTTTATCAGAGATAAAATTAATAGAAAAATAATTATAGTCACAGCTAATAATGATGAAAAACGATTAATAAGAACGAGATCGCATTTATTGTAATGGATTCACGATCTTTACAGCGTTTTTACATTAATTTTCATTGCAATGGTTTCATCGAGATTAGAAGATCGCATACGATTGGTATTAAGACCGAATTGCGTATAACAATAAACTGTTCGTCTTATTGATGTCTCTATCACTATTTAGTAATTGTATTGAATCGACACTACGTGAAATGTCAACAAATTTATCTTACTAATATCAATGACAACAATGATTATTTCGATATCAATTTAATAACATGACACGATGTTTGGGAATTGATACATATTGACATTAAGGAGTACGTCATTCAATCGGTCTCATATTTTACTTGTTAGGAAAATCTAAGAATTTCGTGTTTGTAGAGTTATCGGCCGCCGAGAGAGAGAGAGAGAGAGAGAGAGAGAGTATGTGAGTTACAGTCGAAGGATTTTTTCGGAGAATTTTTGGATGGACCGCTTCTTTGAAATCCGGACTGTCGCCAGTCAGGAGGATAATTACCGGAAGAAGGCAGCGATGAAAGGTAGGAATCCCCCGAGCGATCGCTCGAAAAAGCTCGAGCTGCGGTCTTTTACTTAACGAGGAGCTATATCGGTTTTATTCGCGTGACGAGTCGGGATGTTGGAAAATGAAAAGAGAAAAAGTAACCGAAGATATATAATTGCGAAGACACTGTTTATCGGACACGCGTATCTCTATACGAGCGTATCGTCTTGAAGGGAGGAGGGGGGAGGGTCACCAGTCGCGGTAGGACGGAGAAAAGGAAACGGAAAATTAATTCGAACATTAGGCAGGAAAATTAAGGAGCTTACGACGGGACGGGACGAGTCCCGTTGTGTTACGATGTTATTCATCCTGTGTAGCCGCGGTGTCATTAACGCTCTCCCGTCGCGGATGTGCCTTGTCGCGCGAAGTGCGTGTCTCTCTCTCTCTCTCTCTCTCTCTCTCTTGTCGTTCCCCGTATCGCCGGGCGTGCGAAATTAAGACTAACGAGGAAAGTATTTCGGAGTCGCGGGCGTCGGGAGGCGGGAAGATCCCCGCCGACGACGAGAGGAACGGTGGATAGATAGGTAGGAAGGAAGGAAGGAAGGAAGGAAACAGGCAAGCAAAGATGAAGCCTCTCCTCTGTCGGGATAATGAGATCGCGAGGAGGACGATTCCGAGGTCGCGCGATGATCCTCCGCGATCGAAATGATATCCGGAAGGATGAATCGTCAAATGGAACGCCGCTCGTTCCTCTTGTCTGCCCGCTTGGCTTCGCATAATCCGATACGATCGAGAGGAGGAAGATACTTGGAAATCTTGTGCTTTGTGTGTGTGTGTGTGTGTGTGTGTGTGTGTGTGAGATGCCCACATTTGTTTTGCAAAAACGACGCGAATTCGCGTCGTTATGCTAAACGCAGACGTTTGCACCTGCACAAGTGATGGTCGATGGTAGGAGCCATCTCGGTTGCAAAACTACAAAGCAAGCTCACAATAATAAACTCGCGGATATCTCATTTTCGATTTTGTTTCCTTTTTTTCTCAAACATGGATTCTCGGGAAGTTTTCGGAATAAGTTCCTCGACGGTGTTCGCACGAATCGCGGACCGCGTCGGGGAAGTTATTCTCTTGAATTTTTTCGCCACGGCGGTGAAACGCGTCCCGCTTCTTCCGCATCTTCTTTT